CTGGAAGCCAAGATGATGAAACTGAGGCTGTTGGACTTTGGCCACCCCATGAGAAGGCACTAGAAAAAAACACAATGCTAGGAAAAGTTGAGGGCAGTAGAAAAAGAGGAATATTGCATGCCAGATGGCTAGACTCAATTAAGGAGGCCATGAATTTACAAGACCTAAGCAGAGCAGTGGATGAGATCTTGGAGATGTCTCATCCATAGGGTCAGCATGAATCTGGGCTGATTTGAAGGCAGTTAACAACAACAACAACAACACAACATGACAAATCAAGGTTTGCTTTTGGGGAATTTATATGTCTATATTTAATAATTTCAAATTGTGGGTGACTGAATCCAGGGATAAAAAAAAAACCAGTGGATATGGAGGACCAACTGTATGTCTTTTAAGAAGCAAGGTGACAGTCTGTATGAGAGGAGCCAAGGAGAATCAGAGGGGTGCAAGGGAAATAGGGGACTTCAGTTCTATCAGTTCAGAGGTCAAGGCCAATATTCAACCTTGATGTTTCCCCTGGGGTGTATCCACACTTCAGAAATAAACCAGTTTGATACCATTTGAACTGCCATGACTCTATCTCACATAAGCCTGGGATTTGTAGTTTGGTGAGGTGCCACACCTGTTGGATAGACCAGGTCAAATACCTCACCAAACTACAAATCCCAAGATTCTGCAGGATAGAACCATGACCGTACAAGTGGTGCCAAGATGGTTTATTCCTGCAGTGTGGAAGAGTTGCTGGTAACTGGGGGACAATTGTGCAGCCGAGTGGTTTATGTTGCTTTTGAGAGACAAAGATTGTTCTCCTCTGTTGCTGTAGTTTTTAATAAATAACTCTTAATTATGAAGGCAACTGGAATGTACTGCTTTGTGCTGTGTTCAAAACATTTCAAGACAAAGAAAGGTGCGTGGCTAAAACCATGCTTGCTGCCCACATACTACTCTCCTCATCTGTTTCTATTCGCAGGTTCTGAACAAACTGGTTCTTCACAAGCTGGTTTTTCAGAAACTGGATCTTCAACTGGTTTGGGTTTGTCTTTTTAAATTGAAGTTGAATCACAGAAAAGCTGACTCCACCTCTAGGAAAGGAGTGAAGTGTTCATTCAAAAATTTTGCTTGGGACTCTTACTGTTAGAGCCCAGAAAGTCTTAGAAACCAAGTAATTTGGCACACAGTCACATCCCTGGAATGACTGTGTAACTTACACTACCACCAATGCACTAGGAACACCGTGATTAATATGTTACTCTAAACCCACTGGGTGACCTTGGGTAAGTCACACACTCTCAGCCTCAGAGGATGGCAATGACAAACCCCCTCTGAGGAATCATGCCAAGAAAACCCCATGATTGGTTCATCTTAGGGTCACCATAAGTTGGAGGTGACTTGAAGGCACAACAACAACAACAACAGCAGTCCAATGTGACATTGTTTTTTTTCCTTCTTTTTTCATTTTTATTGAATTATTTTAACATATATACACACAGTGTTACACATACCCATGCCCTTCCTTCCCCCACAGCTTATTAGAGATTAGGATCAATACACTATTTGCAATTAGAAACCCACAATTCAATATGTGGGATATGGATTTAATTGCATTATTGACTTCATTGTACTCCATATTCCCTTTGACCTTCTCAAGCAGAATTTCCCAACCCAAGCTCCAAGCTTCTTCCCTCATTTAATAATAATAATAATAATATGATTTATTTATATACCGCCCCT